CTTCGGCTGATGCTGTTGAGAGAGGAGAATGGTGACGATGATGCGAATGAGTTGAATTTTAATTGGATGATTTGACGCTTTGACAGTAGTAATGCCAGAGAATTCTCAATCGAAATTGCTAGAACTTCGAGAATTTATTTACAGGTCGAAAATAGGGAGTTGGCCCATACCTTTCAAAGGCTTTTTGGGACTAAAACTCAAACGCCTCTTTTTAACTTTTTTTCATCAAGGGTAAGGGGATCAGCAGCCCATTGCACACTGTAGTTGGGCTGAGCTTAACCAAAATACACTACTATCGAGTCATTTCATTTGGTACCTTACGACTCTTATCAACTAAGATTTGAGGTTTTATAAAGCCAGGTTCAACTGGGATGATTTTCTGTTAGGTGTAAATTAAGTAAAGACTTTCCTTCGATAGACTAAGGGCTTGTTTGGATTGAGGGGAAGGAGGGTGAAGGGAAGTTAGGGGAACCATTCACATCCATTCACCTTGTTTGGGAACACTTAGGAGGTGAAGGGAACCATTCACATCCATTCACCTTGTTTGGGAACACTTAGGAGGTGAAGTTAATTCACCCTAGTTCCCCTTGGTTCACCCCTAATAGTATAAAAATTGTTACCCCCCAAATTGGGGTGTAACCAAAGGGAAGGGAATTCCCTTCCCTTCCCTTCCCTTCCCTCAGTTTCCCTTAACTTCCCTTCACCCCCTACAAATCCAAACAGACCCTAAGTTTAACACAAACCCAATCTAGTAATTTAAGCTTTTCAGCTAATTTAATTCCTACCCTCTTTTAGGCCCGCTATGTACCCCCCTTTGGACCTCTGATTTCTCCCCCCTCTTCTTTTTTCAACTTGAATATTACATGCAAGATGCGAGCCCCTATGCAGGTTTGTGCTTCTTATTTTAATTACGATGAGTTAAAATATATTACATGTTTCCCTGATAAGAATTTAATGAAACAAAAAATGAATCTACAAAAACGGTTAGCCCTTTGATATGAACATGTACATACTAATTTCGCAATATTACATCCCACCGGTCACACTGTAAATAGTCTACTGTCTGCCACACAAGTCCATTACTCAAACATCGCATCGTTAAAAAAAAACAAGGAAAATAAAAACGGAAAAAAAAAATGGTGAAACCACCCTCTCGAAAGAGGAATTGTTTCCCCAAAAAATAATAATAATAATAATAATAATAATAACTCTAGCGTCCTCTCTTATATCTAGTTACATGTTGCATCTTTGCATTGGTTCCGGCCGGTCTCCTGACTCTCCTTCTCCTTCACCTCACTTCCTTGAGCCTTGCCATAGTCTTTTTTTCAAATAGCAACCAACATCAAATATGCAAATTAAAAATACTGAAAATTTTATTAAATATATATGCTGAAACGAGTAATTGATTTACCAGGACCACTTTGATCGACCTCCTCCTCATCGTTCTTGAATTTCTGAGCGCCGGGGTAAATCCCCCCAAATCCTTCTTCGTCGGAGCGAGTAGCATATCCCTCTCCGAATGAGGAAGACATGGCATCTCTAGGAAGAAAAATAATTCAAACCCTTAATAATTCATCAAGATAGACACTTAAGAAGATCAACTATTATTTTTCACTAAATATTAATTGAAGGCCTCATTTTTGAGATGTACTTGGTGCATGCCTAATTGACGCAATACCTTTAGAAACTACGTACAGCTCGAGAAATTTGTCATGAAATTGCTGGTGCAAGTGAACACTAAAACACCACTGGCTAGTCTCCCAGCTTCATATTTGATATGTTTATTAGGATCATGTTTACAATATGGGACCAATACCATGCGTTGATATCCACCTTAGACGTCAATTTAGTATAATTTCATAAAGAAAAAAAAAATAACCTGCAGATTGTAGTAAACAGGTCCTGCTAAAAATTGCCAATTTGTTAGTTCAGCCCTCAAACACCATAGCCAATAAATAGTATTACGGTGTTCTAAAGTGATCATCTAATTGTGGAATAAATCTCTTAAAATTTTAGGGAAGAAGAACTACTCGGTGTTGTAAGCAGGTGCTTCCTGCTGCTTGTCCATGCCGCTGCTGTTGCTGTAGAACCTGGGCCCACTGCTCCTAGTCGGTCCCACCACCGGTGATCGCTGGAGAACACCCGCCAAATTAGTCGGCTTCACAAAAGTAGAATTAGCACGAAGAAACATATTATCGCTACCAATCTCTTTTCAGCTGTCTCAGGCTTTACTCTCTCTTTTATAGATAGCGAAGAAGAAGAAGAAGAACGATATAAAGACAAAAACGTTATTTTATTGGACCGGTGCTGGGTTGTTATTGGACCAAATATTGTGACGTGTCAGCAGTCAAACGAGCCTGCTACGTGTAGAGCGATCCGAGCGTGTAAGCGTTGCTGGTGGCTTTAGAATGACTGACATCGACTCGTGTCACGAATAGAAGAGGAGGTGGATGGCACGAACTGGAACTCTCCAAAGTGAAAGTGAAACCCATCGTTTTCTTTGGCCTTGCGTTGAGGCGGTGGTTCACTAATTACTAATTAGATAGATAAATGTGTTTTTTTATTACAATATAATAAATAAATAAGTTGAATCAATTAAAATATCTTATTGATAGTTTTAAAATATTTATCGTCACATGCGTGTAAGCATTGATAAATAAGTTGTTTTTTATTATATTGTAAAAAAATAACAATGTTTTTATCAGTAATGCTTCAACCAACAAGTAAAATTACAATATTTATCAGTCATAAAAGGAGAATTTCACAAATAAGCCAACGTGTTCATATCTCAAAATCAACAACCATAAAGTAATTTTCAACCCCCCTGTGTGAGAAAAAACCTACAACCAAAAAGTAATTTTTCTCAAAATCAACTTTTTAAAGAACACAAAAACCAACATGTTCAGATCTGTTTAAACAATTTCCGCACAAAACCAACTTCTTTAAGAACAAGCATAAACTAATTTTTCTGGAAATCCAAAATTCAACTCCGCGCAGATAAATTTTTTTTACCAGATTTTAAATTTGGCATAAACTACTTCTTATCAAACATTAACCCTAATCTCAGATCTGAATAGACAATTTTTACCCTAATCTCAGATCTGAATAGGGACCGAAGAAAAAATTAAACTAATAATCCGAATAGGGCACCAATTTGTAAGGACCATGAATTTTGATACTAGTTGAAATAATTTTTCTAGTATTTTAAAATATTTAATTATGATTTTTAAAAGAGTATTTATATTTTTCTCGATTTTCTAAAATTTTCTATGATTTAAAAACCAAGTTTTATATTTATTTAAATGGTTTTCAAATTTTATAAATTAGTTTAATGCAGTAAAAAATTATGGAATTAATCTGTTGTGTTATCGGTATTATTACATGTCATTTCGTATAATATGTTGTATTATTTTTATTGTTACGTATATTTTCGTATAATACGTTGTATTATTAATTACGTATTATTTGTATAATTTGTTGTATTATTTTTATTGTTACATATTATCTGTCATATTAGCATAACTAGTATGTTTTACTGTGTATATAATTATTCCATAGTTATTGGATTTTAAATGTAAGTAAATATATTTTATTTATTAATTATTTCTGTTTAATTATACAATATGGGTATTTTTCGACTATTTTGTATCAACTATTTTATTAGCATAACATGTACGTTTTTATTTGTAGATAATTATTCTGTAATTGGTTTAATTTTTTTAATACCCGTAACTATTTATTTAATTATTTTCGTTTAAATACCTAAACCCAGTTGAAAATAATCCAGCGGTTACTCCCTGTCAAACCCCCCAACAACCACCCCCCTCATCACGTTTTCTCCCTCCTCTTTTTTTTCTAAGAAAACGGCTCCACGCACATCCTCTTTCAATATTTTTTTTATTCAAAATTTTTCTATAAAAACTCAGCCTCACCCCTCCTCTCGTACACAGCTCTCTCTCTCTCTCTTTCTCTTTCTTTCTCTCTCTCTCTCTCTCTCTCTCTCTCTCTCTCTCTCTCTCGCTCTCTCTCTCTCTCTCTCTCGAGCTCGAGCTCGAGCTCCGCCCGCGCGCCCGCG